CAYAGAGTGGAAGTAAATGCCCGGATTGTGGTGGTGCTTTTGTGGATCTCCAGCTAAGGAGCTTGGATCACTGGTTAAGYCCTTCTGGGCACGTTTTCCCTTTGGCAGCCACAGTCCAGAACTCTTGACTTCCCCTGGGCTGCAGAGATAGGCGCAGGCTGGGAATCAAGAACCAGTTCTTTTCAGAACTGCCAGACGGAAGAATCCAGTTCGCTGATATTTTGGCAAAAAAAATCATTAGAAACAGGATTTCTGAGCACCTGATTTGAAGAATGTGTGTAGTATAAAAGACTTTCTTTTTATGTTGTTGGTACTCAGAGAATTTCATAGAATCAGAGAATTTTTCTTGAACTAGTAATTCTTATTACTGGACTAGGAGGTAAGAGAGGTGGTAAAGCTGACATTAGAATGAGCAGTTAGTTGCTACTGTGTTACCTGCAGTTATACTCCTTGGTCTCAAACTTTCACAGTCTGTCTTTACTTGCTGCAGTGCAAACGTTGGAGTTAGGACTTGTTCACTTTTTGTAAATATGAGATCCCTTTTGTTGCCTTCCTGGTGTTCGGAGCCACAAAAATATCTGGAATCAAAAGTTAGAGCTAGTTCAGAGAGTTGAGAGTGAGCCCTGGCATTCCCTTTCTGGAGCAAGAAGGGACAGAATTAGTGAAACTCCCTGTCGTTTCCTGTAAGAACAGCAAATGTCACTGTGTCAGGATCCTGGRAACATCAAAATGCCGTCGTGTCAGACAGCCTAATATCGTAGGCTGGATTCCACGTCTGGTCATGTCTCATTACTTGGGTGTTTTTTTGGATCAGGTTATAAATATTTGGTGGTGAGACTTTCTCCTGTCCTTCAAGACTTGTGCTARCTAGATTTCAGTGCTCAGTGCAGACCAAGTTATTTAATGTCTTTGGATGAATAGCATACAGTATATCCAAAAACTCAGCCCTATACCCCTGTTTCCTATAATCTATGTCATTATTCTGTATGTTAAAATGATCTCTGCCTGAAGCATAAACCAAATTTTGGTTTATTTGAGAATAACAAATGCTGGAGTCAATTTTGACAAATACAGGTTATAATAGAGCATGCATCATACTTGTTGCAAAAATATTTTTCCATAACACCACCAGCGTGGAGCTTTATAAAGCAAAGCTCTAGCCAGCTGTCTGCTTTCACCCCGAGCTGCACTGCACTTCGTCGCTCTGCGACCCAGAGCTTGGCCATGGAGACTCTTCTGAACGAGTCTGAGGCTTGTTCTGGTTGTCAAGAAGATTTCAGCTGCTCTTTGAGGGAGTAACTGGGCCACTTTGCTGCTTTTTGATTTCAAGGTCAGGAATTGCCAAGCTGGTTTTGTGCCTTCAAATTAGGAAGTTTCCTGATAAAAGCTTTTAGGCGTGTACAGTGGAAAGGAGACTCCCTGGAAATTGGTGGGGCTTTTGCCACTTACTTTGATGAAGTCAGGATTTCAGCCATGCCTTATCCTTTTTTTGAATCTTTCCTGCTTTTAAAATTATTTATGAATAGATTTTTCTTGTGTCAGGTGTTTCTAGAGGTTTTTTTGCCGTTGTCAGAATATTCTCAGTAATACAGTACCTCACAATGGAAATATCTGTAATGCTCATTATATTTCACATACAGTTCTTAATGCTTTATGTTTCTGTGCCATTTCTATTGCATATAACCCATAATTAGGCTGAAAATTGTTGAGGATGAAATTTGAAGACAGGCAGGGAAAACAGTCTAGATCTTGCCTGTCTGAGCATGGTGTTTGCTCTACCACCTCAGAGGAATTGATCTGCTGCAAGAGGAGGCTAAAAGAATGGGGCTTGCTTAGCCTGGCAAAATGAAGCTTGATAGGGGTATGATTGCTCTATAACTGCATTATGAAGGTAAATRTAGGCAGGGAGAAGATTTTTCAGACTAAAAGGCACTATTGGCACTAGGGCAAATGGGTATAAAGTTGACCTGAAGAAATTTATGCTGGAAAWGGGAAGATTCTCAATGCTTTGAAAATAAAGCTCTGGATGAACCTTCTGAAATGAGCAGCAGGRCCGACCAAGCCAAGTAGTTTTGGGGTTGGCTCAGCAGGCAGGTGAGCTGTGAGAGCTCTGCCTGTGGGAACAGCGGATGGGACTTGACCTGTACTAAGGCTAGGCTAGGAGGTGAGGGGCTGAGCGCTTTCCATCCAATTAAGTGTGTCCTCTCTGTGTTAACCTGCTGAAACTGCTTCAGAGTTGCTATTATCAAATCTATAATTACACGATGAAAAGCAAATTAAATGTTCTGTACTGAACTCTGACCGTTTGCCTCRATGCTTTGCCTTTTCTGCATCCCATTTATTTCTTCCACACTTGATAATGGTACAAGGTGAGTTGTGTGAGAACTTTATAGATGAAAGAAAAACTCTTCTGCAATAACACAAGATTTTCTGATTAATTCAAAGACTTCCTGTAGTCTTTTATTTCTGGGTATTTTGAGCTTTATTTAATGCTTAAAATGCAAGTGCAGGGGCATCTTCTTCCCCAGGTGTTTTCATGTAAGGAGGTAGCAGCATTAGTTGCAGGTTCAGTGCTGTGGTCAGTCTGGGCTGTGTTTGTCTGCCAGTGACTGCTGGGCCCCAAGTGACTCTTCTGTGCCAGGAGCTCCTGTTGCTGGAAGGTGCATTAACCCTAGAGAGGCTGGAGCCTCCTGTGGTTGCAATAAGGCAGCCCTTACTCCTAATTTACTGTAAAATCCTCATTCTGACAATATACTGGATAATAGTAATTATTTTTTTTACCACTGCGGCAGGTAGGAATGCTAGAACATATTCTGTTTATTCCAGGTATGAGTTGATACATACCTGGTGTTGAGGCATTGTGCTAAGCAGTGTGTGCCCATAAAAGCACCGTGTACCCCAGAGCAGAGCAGGGACGGCCCTTGGGTTGGAGAAAGCTCTAAAGCCCCAGGAGAAGAGGAAGGTTTGTGGCTCAGCGCGGAGGAGAGCTGTGGGGTGGGAGCAGCAGCAGCGCAATCACCGCCGCGCTGCGGGCCTTCTGTCAGGGGAGTTTTAAGAAGGGATCTGAAGCAAGGTAATGAACTCTAAAGACTAAGACCCTGACTCAAAGCCTGCTTAAATGAATAGGATTATTTCCRGTGATGTCAAGAGTTGTTAGATCAAATCCTCTAACACTGTATCTGCAAAGGGAATTTTATAATCAAAAACTGTATAGGATTTTAACTTGGCAGAATTAAGCATATTGAATTATACACAAGTATTCTAGGCATGATATGTTTTAACATGAAAAATCCTTTTGCCTGTTTAGTAATTCTGCTAGTTGGCACAGCATGAGGTTTTTCCGTTTTGATTGGCCTGATTCTCAGAGCTGTTGATATTTGTAACTACCAGTGAAATCAAAATTGAAAGTCATTTTAGAAATGTAAACCATTAATTTGATCATTTTAGAAATATGCTTTCATGTTTTTAATGCAGCAGGTTTTGTACCAAAAAGTATATGAAATTATTTCCTATTTGTCGTCACATGGGTTCATTATAAAGATAGCATTTGAAGGGTATTGTATCTGCATACTAAAATGCAATATACTATAAAATCCCAATGCAACATTTCATGAAGCAAATTTTTTTTTATGCTTTTATTTGGTTTTCCAAGTATGCCTCAAAGCTGGAGGCAAATGCAGGTGCCCACCTATGCAGAGCCATTGCTGGTTTGGCAGCCTTAAGTTGAGAAATAAAGCAAGCTCCAGTGTTTGCTTAAGTGGACTAATGGTTTTCTAATAATGAGTGTGTGTATTGTGTGCTAGATAAGGTGAAGAAATAATAGGAAATACTCTGTTGTTGGGGCTGACTGACTGACAGAGCTGATATTTTGTTTAATATGTCATCAGCATTTTGGATTAGTATTTATTAAGTACTGCGAATAATTGTTATTGCTGGCTGCTTTCATGTTTTATGCAACTTAGAGAAGGTGGGGAATATTTGTACTTCTTGGGGAATATTTGTACAATATAGGTATATTGTAGTCTTGAGGTGGAAGCAGAAGGTTGCTTGTCAGCCTGCTGCCGCTTTGTGTCGGCAGTAATTTGGCCATGCAAAATTACTCTGCAGCAGCAAAGCAGTTAAATGTGGCAGCAACCTTAATTTGTGTTCTTTCACTGTTGTTTTTTTCTAATTCTCATAGAAGCTTATTTAACCCAAAACTATGTGATTAAATTATAAAATGGACATGCCAGTTAATACCAGCAACCATCCCATGTGCAGTTAAAACAAGGGAATGGTTATATAAGGTGTGAAAGAAAGAAGCGGAGAGGACAGTAGCTAGCAAAAAAGAAGAGTAATAAAGAATGCTTTTTAAGAGCTTTTAAGTCTTTACTATGTTAGATTCTGGTAGTTCTTTGCTTGGTTTTAAGTATTTCTGTATTGCTGCAGCATGCTTTTAGTGTTATAAAMAAGTTGTCCATACTACTTCAAGGCTTTTAAAAGAAATACTATTATGTTGATCAGAATATGGAGTTGAAAGACCTGTTTTCTCCTCTTCCCACTGCTGTATTTGAGAAGTACTAAGAGGAGCTTCTGAACTGTAGTTATAAACAGTGATTTAGTTCTTTGTACGGGCAGTAAGAATAATCTTTGAGGGAAGTATTTTGTGCCTCCAAGAGGAGAATGGCTACCTTGTTAATTACAAAGAGGTGTGTGGGGGACATAGGTCAGGTGTCAGTGTGCAGCCAGTGTTGATGTGGAAGGAGCAGAGTGCACACAGAGTTCTTGTCTTGAAAATGAAACATTAAACTGCATCTTGGCTTATTAGATACATCCAAAAATCTTCTCAAAAACTGAAAATGAGAACAAATCCTATTAGAAGGAAAGTAGGATCAGTGTCCTGTTCTCTTGGGTATGTTCACATAGCAATAGATTTTTGGGTAATGCTGATCTAAACCTGAGGAAATTCTCCATTAACTAAAAGTACATGTCATTAAATAAATGTTGTTTTTCTTGGCCAGGTTTACCAAAAATGCAAGTCATTCGCAACTACGATGGGATGCCACAGCCGGCTTCGCAGGACGGTCCGCCTTTGCACATCCACATTGGGGACACTATTGAACTCATCCATGGAGATGCACATAGCTTATTTTGGCAGGTACTGTAGGATTTAGCAAATGGCCCTATTCCTTTTTTTCCCAGCTATTAAATTCTTAATGATTTATTGTTGTTCTAAGTTTTTCTTCGTAGTGAACAACACATCCTCTAATGTGTTCTATTGAAAATAAATGACCGATACAACTATTTTCACTACTCAAGTGCCAGAGGCAGTACCCACGCTGTGTAAAGCCTTAGTCTTGCAACCCTATTCACCTAGAAGTCCTGCTGAATAAGCCTGCAGGAACTTGGCATAAGGAGCAGTCTGCTATTGAAATTATAGGACTGATGAAAGAATTTGTCACAGAAGCCCGACAGATCTGAGAATTTACATTACCACTTTTCCTGTATAGCAGAAGTGAAAGCTCTGCTAGCGAAACAAAATATTTAAATTCAAATGTGAGTAGGAATTTCTTTTAGGAAAGAGACAGATACATGTGCAAAATGGAGCTACGTCTACCTTTTTGGTGAGAGCTCAAGTCATCTAAGGACTTGTGTACAGAGGAAAGGGGAATGTATTGATGGCAAAATAAGTTGTTTCCATAGAAGTTGGTATGATTCAGATCACTGCTAATGGTGTTGTAATTTCATTTCTAATTTGGCACTTTTATCAAAAACGGATTTAAAATGCGAACAGTTTAACATTTGTTTTCCTTGATTATATTTCTCCAATTTTTCCTTCTAGAATGCATATCCACCAATAATATTGGGTAGCTAAAATAGTGCAAAATGGAAAAATAGATATTTCATTAGATATTAGAGTATTAATAGAAGAAAACCTAGGATATGTTGTTGATATTCTTCAGTTGCTGATATTTTATCTTTGCAATTTTTTTATGAGCTTATAGGTTAATAGTAACAATTTAATGAAGCATTGAAATATAGGACAGGCTGGAAGTTAATTATCTTAGTCTACTGGAATGTTTATTGGATGTGATTTGGACTTATGGCTAAGAATTCAGTTAAAATCTACTTGTGCAGTGCAAATTATTGTCTCTAGCTTCTTAGGCATTTTATTTTTTTCTCTCACAACCTGCCTTGTCGCAGACTACTCTCTGGAGATTGTTGTGAATCGTGTAATGATGTTTTGGAATGTGAACTAAGAAGTGGCTGCAAAATACAGACTTTCATTGAAAACTCTAAGGTTTAGTCAGGAGGGGTTTGGGATTATTTCATAGCTGACCAGAAGGAGAATTATGTTGGAATGGACTTGAAAATTGACCTTGTCTCAGTTTAGAAATTCAGATGCTTTTAACAGGTAAATGTATTTCAGGTGTGAAGATTTCTTTTTTATTGTTTATGATACATCTAATAAACACCACAAATTATCAGTAATTTAAAATCAATAAATTCTCAAGTAATGCTTATCTTAAAAAAATTTAGATTTGATAAATGTGTTTAAACATTAAAATTCTGCCAAGATAATGTTAGCATGATTGGTTGCTTAGAAATTATGGTGAATTCTGTAGATGGCTTACACATCTGTATACACATATGCATCTTGTAAAGCAGTCTGGAGAGCCAAGTATGAGTTTATTTTGGGGCTGTTCCCTCCCACGCACAAGGCATCCTCCTATGAAACAGCAAGTCCTATTTGGAGAGGCCGACAGATGCTCTCTATTCCTTCTAGCTATTGTGCGGCACCCGCTGTCATCCCAACCCTCAGCTTTCTTCAAAGAGAACATGGGAAATAAGGGGCTCGATACTACCTCAAGTATCGAGCCCCCAAGTTAACCTGCTGTTTTCTGTACCTACCTGGCTGTGAGTAAAAGGAAGAGAATCTTCCTGCTTTGCGCGGCTGCTTTTCTTTGCTCGGGCACGGGTGAGCYGGGCTGCTTGCCGAGTTGCTGCTCCTGCAGCCTTCCTTGCAAAGCTAATTGAATGAGAAGGGGAGGAGGGAGAGTGAAAACTTGGTGTTTTAAATGGAAATTTCAGACTGTGATCCAGAGCACTACTGGCTGTTTCAGCTGCAATAGTGCACTTCTCAAGTAGGCTGATTTTTATTATAGATGGGAATATTTTTTTCTCCTCTGAGTTTGGTCTAAGTAAATTGGTACTTATTTAACCTGAGGGCAGGTTTTCGGTGTGCCACAATGCATACCGTAAGATATAATGTAATTCTAGTTTTACAGGTTTCCATTGCAATTACCCACTATCCTCCAGGCAGTCATGTTTTTGAAGTACACCAAAGGAATACAGATTTTTCTGGACTGTTCTTTTTCTTTCTCTAAACCAACTTCTCTTTGATACAGACTAAACCCATATTGAGTAATTGCTATTATAGATGTCCCTGTTAATGCTTCAGTAGTTAGTGGTCCCACAGTCAACATCCAAAGGACATTAAGGATATTGTAACTATACATGGGATATAAAATTGAAACTTGTATCTGGGGAGAGAACTCGTTTCTTCTCTGTTGCCATGTAAAGACAACCCACTGGGGCAATGCAAAGCACTTCTGTGATAGGGTGCTGTGAGGAAAAAGAATGTATTGAGTGGTACTAACATGAGATAATTTTTATCTTCTCCGTACAAATATTGAGCATAATAATGCCCATTTGGGAAAAATTCTGCAGCAATCTGGGAATTCATGTACAATTCACCTTGCACAGAGGAAATCTGAATCTGATGTCTATGCAACTATGTCAAACTAAAACCATAGTATTCATTTTAAGATATTCATACAGCCAGCTAAYATACCCCAAAACATGGAAAGATCTCCTATGTAGAATATGTGAAAAGAGCTAAGCTTTTCAGTGTTGATCTAGGCTATGCTTTAGGAGGAGCAGCTCAGAGGGGCTGTTATTCTGCAGAGACCACTGTCCGGAAGCAGGTGGGCTTTGCGGGCCCGTAGGTGTCGGCGGGGGCAAGGGAGGCCTGGGGCATGGTTCCTATCTAAACGTTTTAAAACACTGCAATCACTGAATTAAAGGAAGAAAGGGTTGGCATATTGAGAGTTATATAATGTAAATGTCTATCTTCAGGCTGAGAATTAAGTAAGAGGAAAAGAGGAAGAGTTTAAGAACTTTCTTACCCAATAAAACCTACAATAGAGTGTCAAGACCTCCATTTCCCCATCAGAAAACATCAATGTATACCAGAGTCTGAATTCCTGTCCCAGGGAGTTGAGACTCCTTCAGGATTAGACAAATACAGGATTGCTGTTATGAATGCAGGTCCGTGAGTAGTCCCAAGCCCCCTCTGGTCACATGAGTAGGGTTGCATGGATTTTCCTTTATTTACCATGTTTGCCTGCTCGGTACATTTTCCAAAAAGGAGCCGTAGTTGGGTGGATGTTGTTAAGCCTCCTGCGGAACAGCTCTGCTTTGTCCTGAATTAAGCAGAAGYGAATTTGATAGAGGGTAAGCCTGAATTAGGCCTGGAAACTGCTTTTGTCCTAGTTAGCTGGGTGTTCTTCCCAGTGGTTATGTATTGATGATGCTAATGTTTTTGAAATGAAAAATATTAGTTACTTCCATTGAAAGCATATAGCAGTACTTTTTTTCTGAATTTGTCATTAAAATTCTGCATATTACTAAAATATACTGAGAGAAATTCCTGATGATTTAACCTATTTCATTCATGCTGTACAGTTTATACATAATTACTGTGCAGCTCTGTAGGATATATCTTATCATTAACAGAAGCCTCGTTCATTTTAATACTTCCAGCTACAGTAATGTCAAGGCAGTACATTGGGCTAAGACTTTGAGCGTGCATTAAAATACCTTCCACCTTTTAGTCGACCTGAAACTCTCATCTTCAAGGGTTTTGCAGAAAAGCSTTCTCCTGATTAGCAGGAGTCTCTATTTGTCGATGAGCAGGTTCTTCAGTAGGTTGCATGTGTGTCGGGTGGATGTGACCTGTCCTGTACAGCATTTCTCTCTTTGGCCGTGGGGATACTTCCGTGCTGGCTGTGCAGCCATGTCCTGCATGCTGATGTAGCAGCTCACATCCCTATTCTGGCCCAGCTCCCTCTCCGCCTGCACGTGTCATTCCACATTCTTCATTGAGGGTTATTCATGGATCCCTTAATAAAGCTGGGTCAGGCTGTCTTCAGCATTCAGATGTCTCCCGTGTCCCATGCAGCAGCAGTCAGGAATTTTCTAGCCGAGGCTCCCAGGTTTTTCTTTCCTGTCATTTAAGTAACTCAGGATTTATATGGATGCATTCAGTAGAATGTTCCAGCCTTGAGTCCCTCAATGTGAGATGAAGGGGTGTGTGTGTCACAGATACGGATACAATGATAGATGTGATAATTTTTAGCTATGCCAGTGCTTTGCTGTGTCCACTGAGCTTGGTGGCAATGGCATTAGCTAAAAGACTGACAGCAGCCTGAAAACTCATAGCAAAACTGCAAAAGGGCTTCAGAAAACCTCTGACCTTAAAACAATTGCAAGAATAATGAACCAGCCTCTAGTCTTGCTGAAGGTGCAGTTGAAAGAAATGGACTGAAGGGCTTCACCGGCCTCTATCTATGTTTATATATTTATGTGTGAGTAAAATATGCATGCACGCATGCTGTATGCACACACTGATATATATAGTATGTAGCCATAAAGTGTAATAAAGTTTCTTTAAAGCACCTTTAAAGAGTTCTGTCCAGACCTTCTGCTTTTCTAATGACCTTAAGTCATTATAGAGACATGTTGGAGGCAAGTGAAATGCTTAGTCATCAAGTGATAAGCAATTAGCCAGCAGAAAATKTAAAGCAGAAACAACTGATTAGAAATGAAGTGTGGTGGCATGATAATTTCGCTGTTAATCAGGGCTAATTGACAGATTTTCTATTCTGAAATCGTATGACAGTGGGTCACAGTTTCACATACGAATGACACTGAGCCTTGGTGAATTGCGCAGCATTGGAAAGCAAACTATTTCCTTCAGCAATGTATAATAAATAAAATTCTTCTACAGTTAGTGGCTTATTTCAAAAACTAGGATTAAATGTCCCCATAGCTACCTAATGCAGGTAAAGGTTTTCTTTAGAAGGCCAAGTTTTTCTTTGAGTTGTATTACTTTTATATTTGTGTTATTATTCAAAATACAATGATCCAGTTTTGTGCTGCTACCCGTACTTGGGGGGATTGGGTCTCTTGGAAGGCATGACCTGCTCAAGATCATCTGCCCTGCAACTCTTCTCTACTGCTGCTTTTGCTCCTGCTGTCTGAGTGTGATGTGTCGGCATCATAATGTCTGTGCTGTGGCAATGGTTTAATTGACGTGGAGCTCAACTAATCCCATGATTTCTACTGGGTTTTCAGCAGCAGTTTGTGGCACTGCTTGTCCCTAGCAGTGCCTGAGCCTGTCAGGGCACTGCTGGGGTTATATCCTGCTGTCCCTGGCCCATGGAGGCTGTGCTGTGATATATGTTCAAAATGATGCTCCTCTTTGCTCTGTCAGTTGGTGATGAAAGGATCTGTCCCTGAACTCATCAAGTTTTGATCCTTGCCTGCTTTTTAATTGTCATGGACATATGTTGCCTGATGTGTCATCTTGTGGAGCTTCTCTTATATACATTTTTCTCATGACGAGCACTTGTGTGTGGGCACATAGAAGGTTAATGCTCTTTAATTGTRCTTCTTCAAATGCTCTTTCTCATTAATGTATTTTATTCAGTGCTTGGTTGCATTACCTGGGTGATGACTTGCTGTTCAGATAGGATTCAGTGTAGTAAATAAGGGCCATTTAGCCAGGAGACTGTCAGAGCTTTGCTTGTAAATAAAGTGTGTGATTCAGAGGAATTCACACTAGGGGAGCAAACAGAATAAAAGCACACAGTGTGAAACCTATATTCAGGTAGACAGTGGGAAAGAAGGAAAACAAGCTTGGCTAACATGGGTTCAATTGTATAAGACTGTCACTCGTTAGCATGCACTTCTTTTTTTAACTTAACATATTATACCTTTAACACTGCTTGTAAGTGCCTTTTTGTCTCCTCTCCTTCCTCTGCACTTTAAGCATTGCTCTACATGATAAGTTGCATATGGCCTCCCAAGGAAAATAACATGCTTGTTCAGTGTGGGTAGGGCACCACACTTGAAGAGTTTTCTCAATTGCTCGTGAATCCTCATTAATTCTTCTTTCTTTTAGTTTTTACGTTCAGCTCTGCCCTATTTGAAATTGCTGAATTCTGGTTTGTGCGCTAGTATGAGGGTGCAATTACGCACTCAGTGTTGCAGCAATGAATGAATTAAAACAAGAAATTACATGTGCGTTCATGAAGCTTTTCTTCCCTTTTATTTTTTTTATGGTGCAAGTATGTGGTCAGAAATAAAAGTAAATGTCACTCTCAAGATGATGATGCCAAGAAAATGTTCTTTCTTACAGGCATTGCTAAGTGTGCTGGTAGTCTATTACATTTACAAGCAGAGTAAGCACTTAGGTGCTTTGGAAAAACTGAAAAACGGCAATGTTTGGATACTAAAACAGTAGGTTTGATGAGTGCAGGTGGTAGGAGGGTGATTTGGTATCCTGAGAGCAGGTCCTGAGCTCTGCTCTTTGTGTGGTACCCACTTCGTGGTGATTTGCATCACTGTGCAGAACTGGCATCCCCTTTCCCAGAGCCCTCAAGTGTATTGGCTATCATAATTTTAAAATTTCTATCAATAATAATGACTGAATTACATTTTTCTAGAATAATACTTTATTTTAAGGACTCTTTTGATRTGTACCTATAGTACTAAAATCCTGTGTACATAGTACTATCTACTATTTATCCCAATTATGTCTCAAAATGGGGAATTTTGTTTTTCTCTAGGGCAGAAATCTAACAACAGGAGAGCTTGGCTTCTTCCCAAGTGATGCTGTAAAACCTAGCCCATGTGTAAGTATGAGTGTTTAATTCTGTTTGTCATCTTGCAGGAAAATTGCCTGGTTTATGCCAGGGTTTTATTATTTTTACCTCATGGGAATCATATTGTTTCCAGTTCCTTTGTATTTTCATGATAAATTTAAAATTACTTAAAATATTGCATTCTAGTGCTTTTAGTTATTGGATTGAAATTGTACATGTCAAGAAAATATTCAAGAAGCAGATTTTTACTTCGGGGAATATTAATAAACATAATTGTCTAATGAATTTGCCAAGTATAGAGCAAATGGATTCTATGTGAAAGCACACTTTTTTTCTCCCCAGCAGTGAGGCGACAAGCCGTAGTTCTAATCTGTTGCTCAGTCACTTTGAGTTAGAGAGAGAGATTACACCGTAAATAGAGAGCTTAAAAATGTGAAAGAGTAAAACTAAAAGAAAACCTTCAATCCAGCCAGGTCGATAAATTTCCTTGTCTCCAAGTTCTTTACCTGCCTTTATTTCATTCAAGGATGTTTTCAATCAAGATTAATTCAGGATAACAATAAGAGAGATTAATTGATAATATGTACACATGAGTTTTGTATAGAGGTGACTGCATTAAGTACTGCACACTCCCTCATTCTGCTCTCTGTAACACTGTCCATCAGATTATCATATCTTCCTTCATTGAGATTAATTGATGTAAACCCGTAAGAATGCAGTGATGAATCACACTTAGTTTAGGAATTCTTTAGCTTGATTCACAACAGGGTTAGACTTATTAGCACAATTGCTTTCATTACAACAATAAAGACACCACAAAATGGATTGTAAGCAGGTGGAATTAGCTATTAATGCCTACATTTTGATATCCCTTTAAGGCTGTTATTGTTCCTTAGTTTCTAAAAAAAAAAATATATGCGTGATCCTAGTGGATAAACACATGAACACCTTGAGGGGTTAATTTTGCTTTTGCTATTCCCCACCTTCAGAATTGTGTTTGAAGAGGAATGGGTAGCATTTTTGTAGATACAGGGTGTGCTAAACTGAGTGACACAACAGATCTGAAACCAAGGCAAAGGTGCTTTGTGAGCTTATTTTTTTTCCTCTCTTTGTTTAAAGTGTAAAAGTGGTGGATTCCCCTGTGCCAGTGGCACTTGGGGATGTGGACCGTACTGTGGATTAGCTGTAGGTCCTTGAGACCCTGCAGTCAGTCAGTCTGATATTGCTGACAGGAGCTTTAGAACGTGCTACACATGCAGTGACTTTCTTGACAAAGGCAAAAGGAGTTAAGGAATCATCCCTGTATTTTAAACCAGAGGAAGCAGGATATTCATACTTAGGAAGAACTCTGCTTGGGTGCTGTGAAGATTGCTTTCTGCTAAATTTAGAAATACTCTTGTGAGAGGAGGATTGAAAATAACACATTTTTACAGAATAAATAAATGTTATTCATGAAATGTTAGCAACCAGTGTCACGGTCAGACGAGAAAGATAAATGGATGCCTTGCCACTGTTAACTTGGAAGGATGAAATATCAACATCTTATTATGACAAACGATGCAGTTAAAGATACTGAAACATCAATCAGATTTTTAACGTGCTATAACTTTTATTATTATTATTAAGTGTAACAGTCTTTACAACCAGCTGATATAAAAATGCCCAGAAACAGCATAAAATACGTATATCAAAAGACTTTAGGAATGAATATTGAATGAAAAACTGCTGAGCTCCAGAATATCTGTATTCCAGACTTTTCACAGCTGTACCTATAAACAATTTTTTCTTCTTTGCAATAAGTAGTATATGTCAGCAGACATTTTCTGCACCATATGAGTAATATCTGGTTTCTCCTAGCTTTCCTCCAGTTTTCTCATTGATATTGAAGGCATTGGATATATTGCACAGTGCAAATCAAGAGCCTCTGGATAAATATTTGATTTTCCTCTATTTCCTGACAATGACCAATGCTCGTAGTATATCTTGGTGCATTCCAAACTAATGGAAATGACTAATCATCAGTGATTTAACTGCTGTGAGGCATGGGCCAAGCCATTTTCGTGTCCTTTCCAAAGTAAAGCTGCTTGACAAAGTAAGGGTGCTGTGTACAGATTTTGTTAAACTCCTTTTAAAAATATTCCATTTTGTCCTTCTGCTGATTTAATTTAAAAAAAAAAAAACACACACACACAAAAACAAAAAACAAAACACTGTTTAATTAGCTGTAGAGGTAACAGTGCAAAACATCCAGGTGTGTGCTTTTCTGTAGAAGAGGTGTATCAGTCATATTTTGTCATTTGAGGATTGTTTACTAAATTGGCCTTCAGAGATAGTTCATTGGGTCAGCTCGGCCAAACAGGCTCACGGGATTATTTCTCCCCTGTTTGCCATYTGCTACCCCTTTTCTCTTGAGTCTTGGCAGTAGCAGCAGAGGCAGCTGAGTACAGAAGGGGCACTAAGGGCTGCAGAGGTGGTGCCTCGAGGGCTCTCTTATGGTTCCTGCATGACCAAGTGGGGTGAGTGCGTGCCGGGAGCGCTGTGCACGCTGCTGCTCACTGCCCCTGGCACGTGCCTTTGTTCTTCCTTTCTCTCTCCAAGAGTCTGGCTAACCTAACCAGGTAGACCTCTTGCAACATCTGGATGGACTTCCTATTTTGCAAGCCCACTTAGTGACCCAGGTTTTATCGTGGAATCATTTAATGAGTTTGATCATAATATGTCCTGTGTAGAATGTAATTAGATGGCCATTGGGTAATTTGTGGGCTATACTTGGTATAATTCACACTTTTTCTTAAGTGTCTTGAATTGGGAGACATTCAAGTAAGCGTTGAGTGATGATTGCGTCAAAGGTGGTATTGGGATCTCTGCAAATTTGGGTTCATGAAAATGAATCTTGACAGTGCTGGGCTGGAAGTCAGGTCTGTGGTAAACTTCAAGTTAGCTTCAACCTTCTTATATCACAAAAGCTGGAGCAATTGTGTTTACTTCTGTGTAGAAAAAATAATTAGGAGAGATGCCAACTTTTTCCCCAATCCTAGCTGCTATGCTTTTGAAAACTCTTCCAAGAGAAAAATATTCCGAATGTATGTAAATACTTAGCCAGTATTTTTAGTGAGGCATTCTATATAGATTCTTTATGTAGCTTTAGTGTTAAGACTTAGTGTGAATTTGAGAGACTAGAAATTTGAGTAATTTTGAATTTGAGGCAACATGTGTTTTTATGAAGAGATTGCAGAATTATGTTGCCAGCACAATTGGTTTTAAATATCAGTGTTCCTCTCTGTTTCCTCAACTTAACTGTCCACTGTCATCCTAATTTGTTATATCCTGTAGCTTCCTCCTCCACTTTTTTAAACTTCAAAGGCTGCCTCTTACTGCTCAGCAATGCTGCTCGAATCTGCCATAGCATTTTTGACATGCTATGCTAAAATCTCTCATTCTGTTTGACTCCTGCTACTTCAGCTGCAGAACACAGAATATGATACATATGTAATGTTTTTTCCCCGCATCAGTGCTGTTCATTTCAAGATGAAATCTAAAGATCTGATAGAGAACTCAGGTGATTCATGAGGTCAGCCATATAATTATCTATACATTATTTAGCATATAAGTCAATGGCATTTGTATTTCATTTAAGTTTAAATCAATTTAAGTTTGTAGGTATATATGACAGTATCTTCCTGCGCTGATCTGTTTGGAAGCCTCTGTTGAAGACATTTCATATATAATAAAATTTTAGGAATGTTATGGTAATGATTTCCCTGTCAGATTCCAGAATATAAGAAGATGTTCTTTGGTTTTACTGGAAGGAAAAAACATGTTGCCATCTGCTGATTTAAGAATRTATGACCTTAGGTTATAAGTCTCCAAGATGTATGCTAAGCCTCTCTGAACAACCCTTTTTCAATGCCTTGCAATTCTCTTACAAATTGTATTGGAAGATTAGGGTAATATTGAAGTATCTCAATACTTCACTGTGAGAGATTCCAGGTTAAATGCTCATAAGGATTACTATACTGTGAATTAATGTTASTTTGTATATGTTGGGTATACGTATACTGCCTGTTTTACAAACTGTTTTTATTTTTATTCAATTTTTTGAAAATTGGATTTGAGCTTCAAATTCCATGCTTATTCAAGTACAGTGCATGACTAACAAGTACAGGGGTATGAAGGAAGCCATACAGTACAATCTATGGGTTACCTATAACTCTCTTGGGTTTTTACAGCATTTTTTTTCTAATAGACTATATTTTTAAAGCCATAAAATCCTTGAAACATGAAGTGCTTTTTTAATGTATTTGTTACACATTTTGATGATACGTTTTAATGGTATGTACTGTTAGGCTGTTTTATGGTTGAACTGAGCGTGGGCTCTGTCAAAATAAACTTCACGCTTCTATTAAATAAAAGAATTTTGTTCCAAATTGTGACCTTTGTCATAACACACAAAAAATAAGATACTCCATTTGCTGTTGGAAATGAAAACAGAAATTGAAAAAATCACACTTTCTACATTCATTCAGGAAAAACTAGACTTCCAGCCAAATTAGCTTGTTTATATGATTTATTTTCCTCTTTTTTTTTTTTTTTCCCCCTCAAAATCTTGATCATTCTGTTGTGTCTTTTCATGCTTCAGGTGCCTAAACCAGTAGACTACTCTTCCCAACTCTGGTGAGTCCTTATGTAGCCCTAAAATAATCTTTCTGGAAAAAAATCATCATAGAAAGACAACTGTGTGTGTTGCAATCTAATTATATTGGTTTAACCTTTCGAGGCTTCTGAAGAAGCTATTGTGTAATGGTTTGGGAAAACAACACCGTGCATTGCCTAAAAGCATTTCTGATGTAATAATGTGCTTAATGTTTTTGACATTTTGTTTACAAGTCTATAGTTACACAGTCTTAATCCCAGAGGTCTCAAATGGAATAATAAGAGATCACTATAATGTGAAGAATGCAAGCAGATCTTAACATGTCAGACGACTAAGCAAAAGCATAGCATAAAATGTATTTTGTCTTATGGATAATTCTGAGAGAGCAGAAGCAGCATCATTCCTCTTCTATCCCTGATTTTATGCTTCTTCATTTGGACATTATTCCTAACTATCTTTAGCTTACAGAAAGTGAAATTAGAATCATATTTTAACAAACATTGATTTTTTTCCCCACAACCAGCCAAATAAAATGTTAAATATATAAGTCTGATATTTCTTAATTCAATTCTAACATTTGGTCTGTAATTTTGTTAGTAGAGAGCATGTTGCTGCAGTCAGTATTTCTAACATCTTGTAATATCTAACTGAAAAATGACTTTAAGGCTGGAGAATTGTGAAGTGTTTGAGGCTGGAAGGGACCTCTGGAGATGATCTAGTCCAACCACCTACTTGAGCACAGTCACTTGGAGCACGTTGCCCAGGACTCTGCTCAGATRCCTTTGGAATATCTCCAAGGATGGAGGCTCTGCAAGCTCTCTGGGCCACCTCTTCCAGTGCTCAGTCACCTTTACAGTAAACAAGTTTTTCCTCATGTTCAGGCAGACCTTCTTGTGTTTCTGTTTGTGGTCGTTGCCTCTCATCCTGGGCACCACAGAGAAGAGTCTGGCCCCATCCTCTTGACGCCCCCGGTTTGGGTTCATACACACGCTGAGAAGGTTGCTTCGCTGTGAACAGGCCCAGCTCTCAGCCCTTCCTTGTGAGAGGAATGCTGCAGTCCCATCATCRTTTGGGTGGCCTTCTGCAGGACTCACTGTGGTAGCTCCTCGTCTCTCCTTTTGGGGAGCCCAGGACAGGACACAATACTCCACATGTGACTTTTAGAGGGATGAGTTGTGGTAAACATTCAGAGTCATTCTCCCTGAGGTGATTAGCCCTATAAAAATGAAATCACTTCTCCCACCCTGCCTATGAACGTTTTAACCTCCAGCCTCCTGTCGAGCTGTCCGCAGAGATGCGGCGAGGATGCAGATCTGCGTGTGCGGTGACGCTGCTGAATCAGGGGCCTCTCTTAGCTTTCCACTGTAGCATCGATTCTTTCAACTTTGGGCAAGTTAGGCTGAAATAAATCTTTGGGCTTGTTGATGTTTCAGTCTATCAATTACATTTTAGCCTTGAGATGTTATAGATAATTCTAAAGTGTTTAAATACTAAAATTAAATTAATGTGTCAGTTTATGTTTTTGGCTGAGTATCCTGTTAGCTGCTGATTCTTTGCTTGGGAGTTTCATGCATCCTAGAGCACGATGTACTGTGATAARACAGGGCCCCCGTTTTCAGTTTTGACATAAAAGCCAAAAGGAAGATGCAGTTCTTTCATTTTCAGTASATACTTCAAGCCAGCTTTAATATGCAGTATGAGAATAGGCCCTAATTCAGAAAAATCATTTTTATTTATGAGCTGTTAAAATCAGTAGTCATTGAGTTAATGCTCAGGCATAATTTCCCTTAATGTGGAATAAACCCACAAGAACTTCTCTAAGGTTTTTTTCCTTTTTGCCCAGAAATTCCCTTTCTTCCCCCCCGCCCCACCACCCAATGCCTTCACTTTATTTATTTATTTATTTATTTATTTATTTTTTAATTATATTTCAAGGCCTGAAAATGGAGTTCAGTTGCAATTGATGTATTTTTAGGTCACTATCTCTTGCAGAATATTGAGACCATCCATTGCATATTTGATAGATCTCTTTCATAGCATTAAAAATATCATGACCAGTTTTTATTGTTCTGTTACAGGTTTGCAGGAGCAATGGAAAGATTGCAAGCAGAAAGTGAACTTATTAACCGAATAAATAGCACTTACCTGGTGCGGCACAGGACCAAAGAGTCGGGAGAATATGCAATTAGCATTAAGTAAGTGAGATACAAACTTTCATAGAAGGTTCTTCTGTTTTCGTTTATACCTAGATAATGCAACTTTTGTAATCAATAAGAAAAGTAAAAAAAATTCTATTTTGGCTTATACAGTCATGCGTAACCTCTCAGTCAATATATGAAAACTGAAGTTGCTGGCAAAATAAATCAGCATTTATATTAGGAAACAGCAAGAGTTTTATAATATCAGTGTAGCAAACAGGTCTACGAATATGATAGACTACTATATTGGGTCATAATAAATGTTTGAGATATGATTTGTTCTGCATTTTTTGAAGTGAATAGGAAGTTTCTATTGAATTCAGTGGAGTTTGAGGCCTTTTCTCTCAGATACTTCAGCGAACTGGATGTTCACAGATTCTTATAGGGGTCTTTGTTTCACRTTGGTTATCAATGCAAATATAAAAGCAAGCAAGATATAGGAATTTCTAGTTAGAGCAAGCAGTTAGTCATGACTTTTTATTCTGAATACAGATTACCTCTTTAGCTGGACCTTAATAAATACCTTTGGTTAATTAGATGTCAACTATGTTTTGGCATGGATATGCATTTTGTCTTAAGAATTTATTCGTATAGTGTTATTGGGGTCTGCCCTCAGGTAATTATTGATTGCCTCTGATTAAAAACACATTTATATTCATAAGTTATTCATTGCCTGCAGGTACAATAACGAAGTGAAACACATCAAGATTTTAACAAGAGATGGCTATTTTCACATTGCAGAAAATAGAAAATTTAAAAATTTAATGGTAAGCATTGATTAGACTTTGCAGTGTGCAACTTCTGCCTAGCTGCTGCAGGTAAAGTGTGTGGTGCTTTGGTTTGCAGAATTACAAATTGCTCTATGACTGAGAGATTTGAATCCTGTCCGTACTTGTAAAAGGGGATGGTATTTTTTTTGTATATAGTGTTTACTGTATAGTGTTTTCTGTAAGTGATTGTGGTACATGATTAGAATTACATATGTATATTTTGGACAAGAATGTGTCCCTTGCAGTGATGTGGAAGAGAAGATGTGCCTGAATCCCTCATGTCAGCCCTCTGTGCAGCTCTGTTGAATCTTGAAAGCCTCTTGAAAGCCAAGTTTGCTGCCTTTGGAAGAGTCCCAGTTGATGGCAGCGGTCCCCAAAGTAGCTGGGTGAAGGTCCTTCCCTTTCATATCGCAGCAGACACACGCAGGCTCTGATGAACAGAACGGTGCCTGCTGCTGTGCATCAGAGCCCAGGAACACTCAGGAGAGCCGGAATGGTGCAGTAAGAGCCCATGTCAGCGAGGTTCCAATTTTATATCAGCATGGTGTTTTACAGAGAAGAAATTTCTCTTGAACTTTCATTTGAAAGAATTTCTTGATAGTTCATTTCGCTTGGGCAAGACTCATAAATACAAGGTGTCTGAATAAATTACCTCAGTGCATTTGTAAAACTGTACTGCTTAAGCATTTCCTGATGCATAGTTAAAGGAAGCTGGTTCAATATATTATATTTAGCTCAATCARTTGGATTACACTTACACTGCAGCCTTCCTGCGTGCATCTCCAATTACTCTAAAACGATAAATAAAACTGAAGGACAACACAAACCAAGAATAGGGAGAGACGCTTTGAAACCAGGAAGCCTTAGAAATGGTTTTCATTTAACCTCTGACACTGTACAGCAAGAATATTCCATGAACGATAAAGAATCAAGCAAAAGTCTCTGCTTTGCATGACTCTGATTCAACCAAGTGCCCATTAGAATGGAAGAACATGAATTTCCTGACTGGAGAATGCACCAAGGTGCTTTCACACTCCGACTTGTCTTCCTTGGCACTTAACATCCAGGGAGGTGGACAGTGCTAGGGCCACGCGCCCTGGGATCTTACCACTGGTAGCAACAGAACTGATCGCATTCCTCAAAKGTGACGTGATTGACTGCAACGCTATTTCTTTGGAAATCTGAATGTTAGTATGCAGTGGAGTGACTGAGGAATTATTGGTAGCTGTGATGGGTTTATCCTGAATATATGGCTTTATGCTTCTGTTTTTGAAAAATGAACACCCTCCYGTCCCCCAATTGAAGGGTCATTAATCAAAGAGAATATATTTGCATTGAGTTTTTGGTCAATTTTAATCTTATTCCAGACTCTGGATGCACCTGTATGTATGTTATTGAGACTAGTTCAAATCTAAGAGCCCATAACAGGAGCTGAAGATTGCAAAGGGGAAAAAAGAAATCCAAGGCTGTCAAGAATTTGATGGGTGCTACATTCTGTAGAATAGAAATTAAAGTAACTGCCTTGACTTTGTCATATCTCCTTGGTTACATAAACTATTTTAGCCCATTTAATGTATATAGAAATGCACAAATTATTGGATTGAACTCAAAGAGAATGTGAAATGTTGGATTATTCATATAGTACCAGCTGGAAAAAATGCACGAATTCTAACAGCCGTGCTTTGARAATTCTACATGGTCCATATAGTAGCTCATCAGGTTGCAGTTGGCTTCCCTGCTTTTACATGTATATAGTTATCTGGGATCTGTGCATTTATGCACATTATCTGYACTGCTACATATGCACATGATCAGATATATGATCTGATAAACACATTTTTGACTGGACATCACTTACTGCTGCAAGAGATCTGAGAAAACAAGGGCAGTTACTTGACCAGTTAACAAGCAACAGACTTTCTGCTTGGGCTCAGAAAAGCAAATGCATACTCAAAGGAGCAAGTAAGCATCAACTTTGATCATAAAGTTTTACTGCGTAAATGGCATATACATTGTACGTGACATGTATTTATTGAAAAATGAGGCTTCACTGTATAAATATTCTCAATGCTTCAGGGCAAGGACTTAATACAGAAAGCTAAGTGGCAGCATACAAGCAGTCAATATTTAGGATACTTGATTTATTCAGTGTGTACGTACTGTGCAATATTGTATTATAAAATAAGGTTACTAGCATGATAAAACTCTCACTACCTGAAAAGAGTATATAGAAAAACATGTGTTTCCAATGGCATGTTATTGTCTTTTCTGATAGGAACTCATAGAATATTACAAGCACCACTCTCTCAAAGAAGGCTTTCGAAGTCTGGATACTACTCTTCAATTTCCGTTCAAAGAATCTGAAAACTCAGTGGGACAAAGGAGTAACAGAACAGGTGGCAACTGTGAGTGTCTTATACTTACCTCTTGTTTTCTATCATTTAAATATTTAATGCACAAGGTACTTTCAGTATCTTTATTTTGCATTTTTGATATATAAACAATTCACATCATAGTGTTTTTAGCCAGGATTTTTATGAAGCTGAGCACGTTCAGAGCTGCTGTGAGGTTTATAAACAGATCTAGTAAGCTTGTCTTGTTGCTTGAAACTCATCTTAATACTTAAAATCTCCCTCATGAATATTATTTAGGAGTTATCTATTAGGAATATTGGCAAGAGATTAAGCTGCATCCTGCCTAGGTTTTCAGACGTTTGCATGGATTACAGYTACAGGTGTTAATATCTGTGGCAGTTTCTGAACTTTAAAAGGGACTTTAAATAAACAATCWTGTAATCATGTAAACCAGGATTTCGGTAATGCAACATGCATCCTTCAAACTCCATATATTCACTATATCATGATTATTTTTATGCTTTCATCTTAACCTTCAAAGTTTATTGCACATCTATATGCTTCTAACTGTTAATGAAATAATGTGCAGTTTAAATAGCACTTAAAATTTTGAAGTAAGCTGAGAAGGCTTATCATGTGTCCTTTATGTAACATGTTACTACCAAAGTAGTGGAAGTTGGCATGATTTTTAGAACACACAAAAGTTCAATGTTAATGATAAAAGAACTACCACATGGCCTATAAAAAGTATTTAAAGTTTCTGTCAAATAGCAAATATTAGATTTGCAGTTCTGCTATGCCAGATAATGAGGAAAATAAAAATGAATGGGAATTTTAACAATAGGAAGACTGCTGTGAAGACCATGGGTTCCAGTGTAGTCTTTGCAATGATAGAGCTGGCTGTGTGATTATCATTTGCTGTGTTCATTAGCTTTTGTTTACTTCCCTGTCTCTGTTACATAATATTTCTGTAGCTTTGGAGACTTTCTTCCTCCTAATTAAAGCAAAGATAATTTAGGATAGACTATTGTAAGAAACAAATGTGTCTGTGCATTTCATTTACTTTGTCTCTATCCCAGTTCTGCTTTATTTCTTTCATTCCTGTTTTCTTCCACTGATTCCTGTGGAAGAGTCCTGTTGGTTTGCTGTACAGCGTCTCGGTGCACCTTCTTTGGTGACTTGATCTGCCCAGATCTTTCTTTTTATCTTTGGCTTGCATTCTGCCTTTGCTGCTCTTCCTCTCCTCGCTTGTGCTCTCCTTCACTAGACCTTTAGTAACATCAAGACTTCAGCTGTCACAGAGGACCTGACCTGCTTGCTTTTCTTTGCTTTTATTCTGATTATTACTGGATTTGAGCAGAAACAACTCATTTCTCCCTTTCCTAGGCCAGCTGGAACATATCTGTACTATGCATTAACTTACCATGGTGCAGAAGTTTTAACTCAAGCATTTCACGTTTCACAGGATATAAGACTTTTGTGGTGCATGCTCATTAACTCTGCCTTTAAAAGAAAATATCTCCTTTAACAAGACTTTTTTTTTTTAAACTGATATAGAGAAAGGCAAGAGAAATGGATGTGGGATGTGTCACCCATAATTAAGGGAGTAGGTGCTTGTCTACTAAAGTGAATTTCAGCCATTTAATGCTAGAGGATATGTTGGAGGGATCTGTAGGTTCAACTCTTAGCTGGGCAACTCAGGATGTGAAATCCACTAGCGTTCCAGAGCAGCATACCTGGCTAGTCTGACTCTGGATGACACTTGGATTAGTTGATTCGACAGTTTTCTTTCAGAGCGTCAGCATGTCCCAGTGAGGTGTTTTAAGCAAAGTTTCCCTGATTAACAGACCATCTGTGAGTTATGCTGCTCAGTTTTATAGCTGTCCTGTGATTTTCACCGAGTTGATGCTGGAATAACCACATATCTAGGCTATGAGAGCCCTGCAGGGCTGAATCTGGAAGGAAGTTGGTAAGTTTTAGGCTTAGGATTCCTTGAGGAGAGGAACCAAGTTATTCACCAGGCAATGGCTGGACGTGGGGATTCACATTGCCTCTGCACAGCCACTTCTCTTTGCAGCTAATTTCAAGGCAAAAGAGTTGTTGAAAGGAGCTCAGCAAGTTAGTGGAGGGGGAAGGAGGGACACTGCCTTATTTTGTAGTTGTGCAACTTCTTAATGCCCCATTTGGTGTATTTTAGCTAGCACAGAGCTGAGGCTAGTGAGAGCAATGGCTTTGACAGCTGGAAGCTGMAATTAAGGTTTTGGCTTTCAGCTCAGTATTTTGTGCTCTTTAATTCATGTAACTGTAAGTCTGGATTTTTTCATGAAACTATTTTCCTAATCGAAATGAATAACAAGGCACCAGCTTGCTACTTATTCAAAATAGCTGGTCTTTAGTGTGTGTATATATACATATATATAAAACTCGCAGAATAAACAAGGTAATTATTTCTTAGAAGTATGAGATACCCTGCTATAGGCTTTGACAAAGTTGTGGTGTTTTTCTGCTGCCAAAGTTGTTGGGTGCTTATGAAATTGAATGGCAATACAAAATTAACCTCATTTTCTAGAGTCATCTGAGAAAGGATTTTTTTCTTTTCCCTAAATTGTTATGGTTTCATTTACCTATTAAAACAAAATCAAGTTATGTTTCAGTTTACTTGTGAATCATAATAAATCACCTTGCAACACCTTCAGTTTTCAAGCAAGTTGATCTCCCTTCATTATCTCTTAGTTTTTAGAATGAAATCTTCATTTTATGGCTACAGTTAATTTAACTTCCAACTTTACTTAGAAATTTTCCTTTTACTCTCCGGAACTAGCAGAACTCACTCCCTTTCAGTTCACCAGGTCGCTGCCCAAAGCTCCAGCTGTATCAGAAATAAAAGTTTCTGGAGAAATGAAGATGTTGTAGTGCCTGGGAGGCCCCAGCTGTGTAGCGCCTGCCCTGTCCCTTTCCCTGCCTGCTCGCTCGCTGTCCTTGTYCCTCTGGAACCTGTTCTCCCCTCACGGCAGTTAGTTGTCCTCATGCCCAGAGCAGATCCCCTCTTTAGCAAGGCCCTCCTTGGGCTGTGCAGTGCATGTGGCTGCATAGCTGTCCTGTGCTCGGGGCAGCTGCTTGGGTCACTGCTGTGTTCACGTGTGCTTGTGGCGGTGGGGAGCGATCAGGCTACGGGGCAGCCCGCGGGAGGTGTTGGGGCAGGGTAGGGCAGGAAGGCCACTGCGTTGCTTTTGCACTTTTTTACAAGTGCAAACCTAGACTGCCCTTAACCTAGGGGCTCTTAAAACAAATGCCCAGCAGCTTGCGTGTGTGCAAACATGGTACCAGTCCTGTTTGTTTCATTTGTGCTCACTGTCTCCTTGTCGTAAATCCATCTTTTCTCGCCCAGGTAAAATTGCATCTGAGCTTATTTGCATGAAATAATTCTCTGTTCCTTTAAAAAAAAAAAACAAAAACCTAAAGCAAAATGGCATTGTTTCATGTGCAGTCACAATAATAAATGCAGAGAAGCAGCTTTATGTGATGGATATAACCCTGCTGCATCTTTTGTTCTTAAAGAATGCTGGTCTTCAGTAATAGATATTTTCGATCTCCTTTTTTGGACCTCATTTAGAGGCCAGATGATCCTTACTTGAGTTGGGGCTGGATGACTTCTCCTTTCCATGTGCACAGCCAAGAACAGAGACCTCCCAGAATTACTAGATTTTGTGTAGTATATTGTACCTTCATTCCTTTGTGAAAATAATGACCAAATCTGAAAGCAAATGAACAGACTGTACTTCCATTTGAAATGGTGTCATTTCTAATAAAGTCCATTTCATGTGTAATTCTGCCTTTAAAGACAGACTGGCTCCTGTAGGTTTGTGGGCAGCAAACACCCCTGTAACCCTCCGCCTGCAGCGGCCGCAGGGAGGGCTGCTCCTGCTGGCACCAAACTTGTGCCATTTGCCTCCTTTAGGCTTTGAAAGCTACCAAGATGAGAAATACTGTTTAGTCKTTACAGGATGTGGTTCAGCTGTGGAATTCCTACTGATGTTAATGGTTATCCAGGCCCTATCCCAACATCTTTGCAGGTGTATTGTGAGACCCTGCCTCAGTTGTTGCTCAGAGGAACTTCCTAACTGAGGACATGTGTTGAAGTCCTGCTGAGCTCCAGAGGGTTCCCATGTACATGGGAGTTCATGTGTGTCTGTGCTTTTTGTTCCCGCTTTCTAAGTGCAGCATGCAAAATTAAAAAAGAAAAAGGCTGTTATATTTGCCAAGACTCTGCAGTTTTAATTTGTTTCTCCGAATCCCTAAATGGGTGTTTTCTTTCTATTTTACTCTTTAAAAAATGCAATTGTTAAAAATTAAATCATGGATCCAAATTTTCTAGTTATTACAGTCAATTTCCTTCCAGACATCCTTAGTGGGGAACCTTAGTTTCCTTATTACCAATGAATTACATAGTTAAAGAACTATTATTTAAATCTCGTGCCAATATTTCAATGTTGTTCTGCTTCTCTCTTTTTCTCTTTTCTTTCTCTAAGCCCCTTCTTTGTTCTGTGGGTTTTCTTTTGTAACTCCTCCAGACTACAGCTTTGTTCCCCCTTCATCCACTCCTTTCTGGTCAGGTACTGCTTTTCTGCTTTTATATTTCTTCTAAATTTGTTTGTTTGTGTGTGCAGCAAGCTAAGGAAGGGACGAATCTAATTTTTCAGTTCTTCTCTAACTGTAAAATGCGAGTAATTAGATGACATGACCAGGTAGCCTAATGTGGAGAATTGCTATTCTTACAACGTAACAAAAACCAAACTCTGCTTAAACTTCTGAGAAGAGTAAGCTACAATAAGGAGAGCTTGGGCAGCAACCTGCAGCTGTGCAGGATTGTCAAGGATTGGTCAGCCATTAATTTGCCACCCAGTCACGATGTCCAGAAGTAGCATTCTATTTTAATGTAGTTGTATAAATATACAAACCTGGAAATTGCACTGTTTGTAGATAATTGATGTATTCGTCCCATCCTTCTAGCAAACAGTATTGCAGCAGCATCTCAGAATATAGTTGCCTGTATTTTGTAGCAAATGCTTTCTTTAAATTCTGCATTAACATTGTCAGTTAATTTTACCCATCTGTTCTCCAAATGTGCTTAGGTACTCCAAATGTGTTGGGTTCTTTATTCTCCTTTAACCTTTTCTGGCTTTAATGTATGCAAACACTTTAAATGAAGAACCTGCATAAAACTGCTTGTGGTAGCAGCATTGCTGGTGTAAATTAGGGGAGTGAGTGGGGGTTATGGCTTTGGTCTCGGAGACGCAGTCCGTGATGGGGTGAGCGCGGAGGACCTTGCCCGCGGGAAGGGCAGTGCTGGGGGAAGCTGCTGCAGCCAGGAGCAACAGGCACTGGTGTCCCTCCGCTGAGCAGGGGCGCTTGGCTGAGCGCTCGGTCGGCAAACTTCTCAGTATCTCACACCTCACAATGTGCTGGGTATGTCTTCCATATAAAAAGTACAAAATAGTAAATGAAAATATTGGCTAGTAACTCCTAATTGAAGTTTATCAGGGTTAAAAGGATTTCTCATTTTGCTAGGTATGCTACACTGCTGTGTTTGTAGTAAAACCATCTCTTTTTAAAGTATTTGAGAACTTGCTTACATGAAATAATTAGCAATTATTGCATGATGTTGTAAGTGGCTCTTTAAAGCGCCTTCCTTGTTGGCTGGGCTCTGCTGGCGGGGAGGCTGGCAGGGCAGGAGGAAGGGCCGTGGCAGCTCTGGGAGCACCGCTGGCAGCCCTGTCCCGCTCTGCGCTGGGCTTGAGGTTTCCTTAAACCCTGCCAGGAAATGGGAGCAGCTTCGAGGAGCGCAAGGACCTTGAGATACCCAACAACTGCCCTTAGGGGATATGRATTCACTGTCCCAATCTCTCCTTCCTAATTCAAAGATTGATTAATACTGCTTCCTCAATGACTTTGCTTTTTAGTAATTCTTTTTTTTCTTTTTTCCTCATTCGCATTCTCCTGTTGAGCTCTTTTTTTCCCCTTCTGTCTCTACTGCTGCTCCCTTATGTCTCTGCTCCTCGCTCTCCTTGTGGCTACTATCTCTGCCTCCGTTTGCCATTTCTTCTTGCCCACCTTGCTGGCATGGAACCCTCATGCTGACTCCTTTCCCACAAGACACGAATGACCCTGGTGCAGCTCGTTCTGGAGCTTCAGGGCTGAATATGTCTCTTCAAGGTGTTTTTCTAATTATGGGAACCCAGAAAGATAGGATTATCATCCTGCCTAAATTAGCACCAGGTCCCCTTCCTGGATTCCCTCACTTATCTGGTTTCTTTTTATATATTTCCATAACTTGTGCACACACCTTCCCTTTTTTATTGGAGAAAGAGAAGTCCTTCCTCTCTCCCTGCAAATCTGCCCCTATTCCTTTTCTACCCTCTCTTTCCTCGGTCTTTCCTCGGTGTCCTCCCTCATCATCTTCCACCTAGATCTTTCCTTCCATCTTTACCCCCATTTGTTGGACTTTGCCCCATGCCCTGTGTGTGTGTGTGTGTGTGTCTGCCCTTTGGCTCCTGCCTGGAGCAAATTTCCCTGCCAAAATGGATTGCCAAAATCCTGATAAGGTATCAGACATAATATTGATGTTAGCATTGAAATCAATAGTGACTGCGTTTGACTTGGAGAGGAGGAAGCATGTTTGGACTTTAATGTACTTAACCTCTTGCCTAGGCTTTACAGCATCTCCGTATTGTCAACAACAGCAATAAGCTGAGATGCTGATTCTCCTCTATATGACATATTTATATCATGTATTAAGTAGCTGATAAGAATGCTCTGAATACAAAGTCTGAAATGTTGGACTCAACTACAATAATATGATGAAAATGTAATCCCTTTTTAAAACACAGCGATGCCATTTAGGTGCTCCATTTTTTGCCATGGATGTAATAATTATTTAAACAGAATATCAAAATTGTGTTAAATGTTTCTATAAGCTAAAATTAATTGAATATATAATGTTTTTACATAATRAAAGCTGTTATGCACAAGCTTCTATTTCTGCCAAATGTGCCTTCTGTGTCCTGAATGAGGGCAAAAGAAACCTTAAGTACAAACACAGAGCTGTCAAGTTTTTTTTTAGTTCATATGCCCTGTTTTGGGTTCCTGACTAAATCAAAGAAGTCAACTTGTTATGAACCTCTACTGATCTATTACTGAAGGCATGGTTAAGACTAGACTCTTAATTATACTTCCTAATGATGATTGGAAAGCTCTAAGAAATTGGCTAATGGTTCAGATGATGATGTTGATTTTCTGTACATCATGTTAAATCTTCCTTCATGCAAATTCTTCCAAAATTGTTTTGGTAAGAAAGTGCCTTGTGCTGGTCCGTTTCTGCCTGGAGTGACTTGTATAGGGAATGGCCACAAATGGGAGTGGCATCAGCTGAAAGCAAATAAAACAGGGTGCTTTGCCCGCTTTTAAAAATGTCCTGTAGAAGTATTCGTTGTTTCCTAAACTCTTCAAGCTGCAGGCCCAAATCTCTTAGGTRCTGTGTGCCCATGTTCCTCTTGTCCCCATGTTTTTCTTGTGACTACTTTGAGTGCTCTACAACACAGTTACAACCATCCCCAGTTTGCTATAAGTAAGTTTAGGGTGGGGGGAGTGGGTTTTGTTGTTGTTGTTGTTGGTT